AAGGCCTGGCGGAAGAGCTCCGTCTTACAGGCCCTGCGGAACTGCACAAGGTCCCGCAGGGCCCGGATCTCCCCCGGGAGCTCTCTCAGCCCCACCAGGTAGGAGCCGCCACCAAAAAAGCCCTGGCCCTGGTCACAGCTAGTTTCACATCCTTGGGACCCGGGATGACCAACAAATTTTGGGTCCCCGGCCGTAGTGCTCTTGTGGGAACATGTGGGGCAAGGCGGTCCCTCAGTATTCCAAATGAGGCCACACCATAGATCTATACAGGAGCATGACAACATTGGCCGTTTTATTCTCAGTCTCTTCCGAGTGTTTATCCTTTCAGAAGCTCAAAATGGGCTGTGAGTTTCATACATTGCATTTCAGGTAAACATAGGAGGTGGTGAAGCCACCACGGGTCTCACGGGTTTGTGATGGCGAGTTTTGTCGGTCTGTGTCCTGCTTTTGTTTGTTCTGACCCACATCAGGTCCGCATTTGCCACCTTCAGCAATACCTTGGGTAAATGTGGCGTCGTCAGAGCATTCGGACCATCACCACCTCTTCAAAACGATCTCCCTTGTGGTGGCTTCATCAGCTCTTCGTGTTTGGGATATAGATATTAAATATGAACCAAAAGGCCCCGAACACAGTTTAAAATCTCTGGAACTGTCTCAGTAGCTGGCACTGACCTCCTAGCACCTGTTTATTTGAGGGAAGAACACCCACCCAAACACATCAGGCTGTTGTAGGTTGCAACTCTGCAACCTTCCATTGTGTTCTGTACAGTAAGCACTCTTCATTGGTGCATCTAGAATCTTGCAGCTGTGTTTCCATGTGTCTTCCAATTTGCTTTTTTCAAAGAACACAAGAAGAACCTGCTGGGTCAGACCAATAGTCCATCTAGTCCAGCATCCCGCGCCACACAGTGGCCAACAGGTGGATTGGGACAAAGACAAGCAACAAATGAGGGCCAAAGTTAACTGCTAGAAAAAAAGTCAGTGAACCAACATCCGGAAAACAGGGATGGAAATTTGAGGTTCCCCTCAGTTGCCATGGCTAGGAGCCTTTGATAGACTTCTCCTCCATGAATCAATCTAATCCCCTTTTAAAGCTGTTTATTCCTGTGGCCTTCGTTCCCTCCTCTGGCGGCGAATTCCACATTTTAATCACTCCCTGCATAAAGTAGTATCTCCTTTTGTCCTCTTGATCCTACTGCCCATCAGCTTCATTGGGTGTGGCCTGTTATGCTAATGAGCTCCTGCTGGGCGTGGCCAACTCAAGAGCCAGCCAGAACTCCATTCCTGTGCGTTCCTGCCCAAAAATAGCCCTGGTCAGACGAATATAAATGAATAATTTGTAAATTCCAAATTCCTTGGGTGTGTTTTCTCACCATTATTCCTAATGCGTTTTCCAGCCATTATTTTGAAATATTGTGTGGAATTTTGAATTTTCCCCTGAGGCCTGAGCAATCTGTGGGTCTCCCTTTTGCGTGCCCCATGTTAATCAGCTGTACGGACTTCGGTTCCCTCTGCATTGCTTGAAAGGAAGGACCGTTTTTCAGTTTGTGAGAAATGACCGGCTCTCAGTTGGGCAGTTCTAGAGGCTGTGGCCTAGTAAAAATAGGAAATTTTCGCCATCTGCTAAAAATTGCTAAATAAATATTTGATTTTTCTTACCAGTTTAAAGGAAAGAAGGCTCCTATGGCTGCAAATGGAATTGTGGGGAAAGGGAGGACTTTGAGCAGTCCACAAAAGAAATCAGAATTTGCTTCAAATGTGAGACGCAATACCTCTAGTAAGTGTACTCCAGCAATGGAAGGCCGTGCCTTTGGAAACTTTTTTTAAAAAATAGCTAGATTTGAGTCCAGTGGCACCTTGGAGAACCAAGATTTTGGGGGTATCAGCTCTCGAGAGGCAGATGTCTGTCAAAGGGAGCTTTGACTCTTAAAAGCTCATAACCCAAATATCTTGTTATTCCGTAAAGAGCTTCTGGACTCAGGGTGTGGTCACACGAGCAGGTTGCCGCGGCAGCATCTCAGCTTTAAGCTGAGTTTGGGATGCTTTGCGTCAATCACACACCGCCCCCTAAGCTGGCATCGCAGGACTGCAGGCCCGTGGTTGGTCGTTCACAATGCTAACGCAATGCAAATTTGGACCCACAGCTTGGTTGGCTGTTTTTTTCTGAAGTCCCACTGTGCATGCGCAAAAGCAGACAGGCGCACACATGCTCCTGACTGTGTTCTGTGGGGGTGCTGAAGCGCACCTTGGAGTGGGGTTGGGAAAAAACACCAAAGGATGCACCAGAAACAGAGTGGAACGATCACACCGCTCATGCATTTCCATGGGGCGCCTAGACGATCAGACACCCAGAAACCTGCCATGGAAGCGCTTTGCCGAGGTAGCCAGCGGCATTTGCTGGTGGCTATTTAATCCACATGGGAGTCGTTTCAGCGCGAGGTAGGGACGATTGGGGCACGGGAGCCAGATGTGCACTTTCGATAGCACCCATTTGGTCCGGAGGGGATGGGGGGCTACGTCGGGCCAAACTGCTTGTGTGATGGCACCCTCAAATCTAGCTGCTCTATCGCAGACCAACACAGCCACCCGCTGAAACAATTGTGCAAAAGCAGTGCTTTGTCCAACTGCGATGTGCAAAAAATATGTCAACAGCTCTGACCCTGAAAAGGTCTTCAGGCTAATGCCTCGTTTCAGAAGAGATTTAGTTTTTCTTTTTCATTTTGGAGGTACTATAATGACTGGTTTCCCTTCAGGATTGTTATTTCTGTTAATGTAACGGCATTATTATTTAAGCTTGGGTATTTCTTAGAAAGGATAGTTACGCTCTGCTACTTACTAACTGGCCGAATGCTTTGTAGTGGAGTCCTACGCAGAGGAGGGCCTGGCGTGATGTGGTCCATGGGGTCGGGAAGAGTCGGACTCGACTGTGCGACTGAACAACAACAACATGCAGAGTTAACGCCACTGAACCCAAGTGGCTGAGGGAGGAGTAACTGCATAGGACTGCACTGTTAAAAGCCCCCCGTAGTCCGCCTCTCCCGTGATCCTGATCTGTGGCCGTCCCCTCTCAAATGTGCTTTGATCTAAGCGTCCCCTCTCAACTGTGCTTTGATCTAAGAGTCCGTCTCCATGTGCAGGTGCTGATCAATACAAGTACGGCAAGAACCGCGTAGAAGCGGACGCGAAGCGGCTGCAGACCAAGGAGGAGGAGCTCTTGAGGAGAAAAGAAGCCTTGCGGAATCGCCTGGCGCAGCTCCGGAAAGAAAGGAAAGACCTCAGAGCGGCACTTGAAGTGAACACTGGTACGTTGGGCGTTTGGTTTCTTTCGGTGTCGGAAGGATGAAAATCCCAAGGGAGTGACGTCCAGTGTAGGGCTGCCAAGTGGGGGTGGGGGGCCGGTAAACCCCTGCTTTGGAGGCCTGATTTCCGCCGCCGTGGAATCGGGCCCCGGGGGAACCCCGCCCCCCCGAAGCGCAGCGTGGGTGCGTCACAGAAAGTGACGCAACCACGTAGAGCACGTTGGGGGTGTGGCCCCAATCGTTGGAGGGAAAACGCCCTCGGCGGCTCCCAGACCGAAGGAACACTCCCTCGCCGGTGAGTCAGAACAACTTGCCAACCCTAATCCAGCGGCTGGAAAAATGTTTTCATGTGTGAATTTATATTGAGAACAGTCAGGTTGTGAGAGGCAGCCCAAAACATGGAATTCCCAGCGCTTTGCGCAAGTCCGCACAAGGAGCTGAAAGCGGAGGTTACGGCCTGAGCGGCAGTTCCAGACACCTGGGATCCCTCCTCTCTGTTCAAAGGGGAGGAGAAGGGCACAGAAGAATTGAAAAGATAATGGTCCAGTCAGCTGCTGCCCGCATCCCTGAGCCATCCTATCAGTGCTTCCACGACTCTTCCTGATTCCTCCTCTGTGGCGGAGTTGGGCGGTTGCTTGTGCAGTGTTGCAGCAGCATTCTAAGAAAGAGGCAAGGACTGAGCCCTGTAAACCTCTGTTGTGCTGCAGAGCATCAGGGCTCTGCTATATTGAAGGCAAAAATAATACAGCCAAAATAAACTGGGGGAGGGGGTTGGTATTTTTTGCAGTTTTGTGTGTGTGTGCGTGCAACCGTGCCTGGAAGTCATGGCGACCTCTGGCAACTCCTACTGGGGCATGGAGGACGTTCAGAGAAGTGGATTGATAGCCTGCCTCTGCTTCCTGGCCCTGGTATTCTTTGGTTTTTTAAAAAATAACTGTATTTATGTAAAACATTGTATACCTACATTCCTAGCATGATGCTCTTGAGGCAGCTCCCATTAAAACTGTAAGGCCATACGGGTGGAACGAGCTCCCGGAAGAGATCAGGGCCCTGCGGGATCTTTTACAGTTCCGCAGGGCCTGCAAGACGGAGCTCTTCCGCCAGGCTTTCAACTAGGAGCCGCCCCACCACTGCCACCAAAATCTGTGGTAACGGGCTGGCCCCAGTTTGGAGATCGAGCCATACCTTCGTGTGATGCTGGAAGATCATTGAGTCTGAAATCTTGCTTATTACACTGTATAGCACATCATCTTAATTAATGAAGGAATGATTACTGCTAGCACTTTGATTATTCACTTGTTTTAAAATGTTTTAAATGTTTTATGTGGATTTTATGGTACCGTGTGCTGATTAATGTAAGCTGCCCTGAGTCTGTTCGCGGGGAGGCCG